GCGGAGGTACCATTACTGAGACTCCCTCTAGGGAGAGGGAGCAGTTTGAGGGAAGAGACCAAGAATTCTGCTTTGGACATAATAAGTCTGAGATGCTTGTTGGTATCCAAGAGGATATTTTCATTGCTTCCCAGATTACACTCTAGCCCCTCCACCCTGGAGTGGAGGCCCCTCAAGGGCAGGGTCTGCCAATGCCAGGGCATACCTTTAGCAACTTAGACACCCTAAACCCTGAAAGAATCAAGTGTCTTATACCATATGTAATTCAAAATAGAAACAATATTAAACATGAAAACCCCAAAATAACATGTTTCTATAATTAAAATGGCTCTATTCTGGACTTTCTGAACGCAAAATTCTGAATGATTTAATTAAATATAAACTTTTATCCCTGCTTTGTTGCACCCCAAGTGCATGGGTAGTCAGCCCATTGAGCAATGCAGCCCAGAGCCAGTTCCCCAGTGGCCCCTAGCACAGGGAGTTAAGTCAAGATAAGAATGTTCCACGAATGAATAAATAAACAGTCATATAAGTTTTCCCCCTTGAAGACAGCTGACAGCCCTCTGAGAAGGCAGTGAGACTGGGACCCACTCGTGTCAGAAACCTGGGACACATGGTTATCTACACTTATTTCCCAAAGTCACTTGGTTGGCTAGGGCTCTGATTTCCTAAGAAACCTTGGGGTCTCCTGGTGAGAGAACCTATCATCTTCAACACCACAGATCTCTGCTGCCCTCTGCTGCCCGATAGTCGAATGACCATGTGATTCTGCCCTGGAAAAAGTGAGTGGTCAGAGGAATTAAAAACCCACAAAGTCCAGAGACTGAGGTGACCCATTGTCAGGAAGGCAATGACCGAGTAACTGGGGGATTAACTAATCCCGGGATCCAGGGACTGAAGAGCCAAGTGATCCAATATCTGAGATACATCGACCTTGTAACTACAAAATCTAGTAGTCCGGCAACCTCAAGACCCTGAAGCTGAGGACCAAGAGTCCGAGAGGAAAGATCGTGATTGAAGCCCCGAAGATCCAAGATCAAAGGGCTTTGTGAACACGTACCCGCAGGGTCTTGGATTCCCAGCCTGGTGTCCAGGGTCTCAGCGGCTGCTGGGTGGGGCGCCCTCACCTACAGCGCGACTCCGCAGCTTCTCTCCTACCACTTGGCGCCGCACCAGCCTTCCTTAGGCATCATTCATTGGTGGGTCCTCGGAAGCGTGGACCAATCAAAACCCTCCTCGTGTCTCCAGCCCCCTCCCCAGTTGCCTCTCTGGAAAGCTAGGGGCGAGTCCCTTCCATGCCGACCCAATGGCAGTGCAGGCGGAGAGCCGTGCTGGCTGGCGATTGGCTGCCTCCAGTGCCTCTCTCATTGGCCGATGGCGGAGACGGAAGCGGCCCCTGGGCCCGAGCTGCCGGAGCTCGGCCGGGGCGATGTGGAGCGCGGGCCGCGGCCGAGCTGCCGGACCGGCGTTTGTAGGGCTGCTGCTGACTCTCTTGGTGCCAGGCAGCGGTGCCGCCAAGACCGGCGCGGGACTCGTGACCTGCGGGTCGGTGCTGAAGCTGTTCAACACGCAGCACAGGGTGCGGCTGCACTCGCACGATATCAAATACGGATCCGGTGCGCAGAGGCCCGTGAATGGGGCATCGTCAGGGGGCGGAGCCCGGGGCTGGGAGTCTGAAGGCTGGGTGGTCGTGGGGAGTCTGCAGAGCCACGGGTCTGGGGGTCACCAGGGAGCCTCACTGGCCACCTGGAGTTGTTGGGGGGCCCAGGGGGACAAGGACCGGCGGTTTTAAGGGGGTCGTTGGGATATTGGGAGCGAGGAGGGTCGTCCAGGAGCTGCAGGCTAAGGGACTTGAGAGTTCAGCCAGAGACCAAGGGCCAGGGATTGGGGCTGGGAGTGAGCCCTTGGGGTCCCAGGGTTGAGGTTGTCGGGAAAGTTTATGGTGTCCGAGTCAAGTATAGGGAGTTCAGAGGTTGACCGCGACCACTCTCACTTGGGGTGGAGTGTCGCCCACAGGCGGCAGCCAACCGTCTGGTGACTTGGCGTGGAAAGATCTGACTGTAGCTGTAGCGGATCCCGTGGCGGCTCGGAGGGCGGGTGTCCGCGTGGGTCCCCGGTGCGCTGCGGGCAGGCGGTTCGGCTCACGCGTGCTCACCGGTAAGAACCTACACACGCACCACTTTCCGTCGCCGCTGTCCAATAACCAGGTGAGTGGCCGGCCGGGAGAGATTACTTGTGTTGGGGGCGGGGGGGGGGGGTGCAGGGACAGAATCTAGACTCCTCTCAGTGACTCTGAGCCTGAAACACCTATCTTCTACCAGCTTGACTGACAGAGGAGAAGAAGAGAATCAGGCTTCAGATAACATTCTCACAGGGGTGATTGGACCCAGGAAGATCCCATAAGGCCTTTAAGGGTGAGAGAACATGAGAAACCCAGCAGAGACGAGAACTCAGGCTGGGTCAGGAAATCAAATGCAAAGTCCTCTAAACCACAGAAGAGAGGCTGCCACAGGCCTGGGAAGAAACTTGTGCTCCAATGGAGTTCACTGGAACTTGGGGAGGGAGAGGTAGAGGGGTGGAGTTGGGGTGGGAGGGGTTTGTGGGGTTAGGGCCTGAGTGCTTAGGGGACTTGTCAGAAGAAAAAGTATGAAATTAAGTGAGGGGTTGTTGGGCATCATGTTGAGTGAGTCTCAGAGAGGTTAGGAAGGAGAATATGGAGAGAGGAGGAGGCTTTAGCTATGTGGGGGTCTTTGATCACTGCGCAGACAGATGGGGTAGGGTGGACGTGTATTTGAAGAGCCCTTGCTGGGGAGAGCCTACTGGGTGCTGGGAGTGGCGGTTGTAGTGTCCCATTTTGCAGCTATGGAAGCTAAGGCTCAGAAAGGTACAGGGAAGGACCCAAGGCCCAGTGTTCTGGGTGTGAGTGTTGGTGCCAGACAAGTGACCACAGGGGACTCTGTGCCTTCTGTGGTGAACACTGTCCATCTACCCCCTGCACCCATAGGAGGTGAGCGCCTTTGGGGAAGACGGTGAGGGTGACGACCTGGACCTGTGGACCGTGCGCTGCTCAGGGCAGCACTGGGAGCGAGAGGCTGCCGTGCGCTTCCAGCACGTGGGCACCTCCGTGTTCCTGTCGGTTACCGGGGAGCAGTATGGGAGCCCCATCCGTGGGCAGCACGAAGTGCATGGTATGTCCAGTGCCAATACACACAATACGTGGAAGGCCATGGAAGGCATCTTCATCAAACCCAGTGTGGATCCCTCTGCAGGTCACGATGAACTCTGAGTGCCATGGATGGGTGGATGGAGGGCAGAAGGGTGGGGCATCTACAGGACCACTCTTGGTGGAGACTTTGGGTTTGTAGGGGTTTTCAAGTGCCTTTGTGATTAAAGAATGTTAGTCTGTGATTGTGTTTTGCTGTGAGCCTTGGGGTGGCCAGGAGGTACCCAGCTTCCCTGACTGGTTCACTATCTCTTCCTTAGTGCAAAACCCCTTGTCTCCAGCACAGAATGACAGCTAAACCTGTCCAAACCTTGATGCTCTTTCATGTATTCCAGCACGGAATGACAGCTAAACCTGTCCAAACCTTGATGCTCTTTCATGTACTCCAGCACTGCCCTGGGCCATCACAACACCCTTCTCTATCCTTAGATGCTCTAATAGCAAGTGACTCCAGTTTCCTAGCCCCTGAGCTTCATCAATCTTCTGTTAAGGGCTATGACCAGGGCCAGGGCCTCAGCAGGATGAACAGTAGGCCCACTGCCTGCCAGCTAGAATGAAGCACAAGTTCTCTAGTGCCCTCATCCCTTGAGGTGGGTCCCTGTTGTCCTGCCTGGCACGTCTCCTCTAGCATTTGTGGCAGTCTTGACATTTGTCTTCGATTCAGCACCAAACCAAGACTGCCCATCTGTTGGAAATTAACATCACAAGTTCCCTCACTCTTGGTGCAAATGGCACCCCTCACACCCTAGCCTGCCTGGGTATGTGGGCATCTCTAGCCCCCATTACAACCTTCCAGGGTCCCAAGGAGATTACAGAACTTCAAAAGATATTGCAAGGGAAAGTAACCACAAAGAACTGCTACCTGCAGATATCTGAGAAGGCTTCCTGGAAGGACAGTCACAATTTGGGCAAGCAAAACATTGCAACTTAAAGGCAGGAACAATAAATAGGAGGGCCCTAATGAAGGGAACAGTTAGTTTTGCTGGTGTGTAGGTGACCTCTAGAGGTTATGGTGGAGACTACAGGCTTCCTGGATTTGCTAAACTTGGCCCAGGTGTGGCTGTTTATATAGGAGGGGAGGGGTTTAAGGGAGCTGCTGGGGGTAGAGAGTGACACTTTTCCTAAATGAAAATACAAGAGCCCAAGGAGATGCTGGGGGTGGCAACTGGTTGGAAGAGGCTTGGAGGAATGTGGGCAGAGCACACTGCAGGTGAGAAATCTGTTGGCGTTATGTGGGTGGGAGAATAGCTCTAGCCAATTGTGAGACTTGAGGGGAGGTGGGTCACATGTAGGTGCTGAACCATTACTTCCCCACTCTCCCAACCCATGAGCTCCTGCTCTAGTCAAACACAGAGCTCCTGACCCCTCCACTGCCAAACCTCTCAGACACTGTCTACAAGTTTAACCTCCTCTCCCATCACTCACCTGACCTGTGACAGGATTGGAGTACAACTAGATTAATAGCAGAATCAAAAAGTGCACAGCACATAGGAATCCTTGGGGAACCAAGGCTGAAGCTGTGGGAGCATATAAGATAGCTGCAGACAGAATGCAGGACAAGACCAAAAATTAAATTGCGGTAGCAGTAGAGCACTCATTTATTGAACACTGTCAGGTGCTGGGCCAAGGATTTACACAGCATCTCATTTGCTCCTGGCAACAACCCTGAAGCAGGCTCAATTATCATCTTAATTTTGCAGAGGAGGCAGCAAGTTGGTAAAGATTCAAACCCAGCTCTGCCTGCCTCAAAAACATTTACTCTCAGCCATTGGACTGAGAATAAAATGGGGGGCAGGGGCGGTATGAGAAGGGACAGAAGCAATGTAGCCTAAGCATCGCCCCGCCTACACACACACACACACACACACACTGCAGCTGTGTGAGGGCCAATGTATATCCTTTTGGGTCATCAGCCTCGGTTAGGCACTTAATGAATGCTTATCTACAAAATGGACCCAAGTCGACCCCCACTTCCCCATACCTCCCACAGATCCACAAGGCTCCCTGGGCTCCAGGACCGGATCTCTGAAGTTCAGACCTAACCGGCTTGCTTCAGGCAAACCCGTTCTGGTCAAGCAGGACGATTAGGTGGGGTTTGGTGGAGAGGGGAGCTACCCAGCCGGGAAACCCAATGCAGCTGAATATCAAATCCGGGAGACACAGGGAGGGATGTGAGCACGCAAAACGAAGCAGCCCTGCTCCACAGCAGGCTAGACACAGGTTTCAGGGTTTCAGAATTCTTAGGATCGCAGCCCTCTTCCCAGCGAGCTCAGCTGCGCGGACGCCACCCCTTCCCCCCCCCCCCCCCCCCCCCCCCCCACCCGCCCCGGGCTTCTAAGCGCTCTCGCGGGCGCTGCTTCTAAACTCGCGGAGACTGGAGCCGAGAAAAGGCGGGTAAAATTCCTTTTGATAAGTTATGAATGAGGAGAAAGTGTTTGTAGTACTCATTGTTAAAACCACGGAGCCTGGGACTTGGCCCGCGCCCGGCCAATGCAGGCCCGGAGGCTATTTTGAAATCGCTCCGGTTTTAGCCAATAGGCGTGCGGGAAGAGAAGCCCCGCGTTGGCTCCGGCCAATGAGCGCGGCGTTATGCTAAGAAGCCGGGGGCCGGGCCCCGCCGACTGTCAGCGGGTTAAAGATGGAGCCGGTGAGCAAGAGGGCGCCACGAGGTGCGGGGTCGTTCTGATGGGTACGAGGGGAGCGAACAACCGCTAAGACCTTTCTCCTGCTAACCTTCCGCGTCCTGGCCTGGCCTGGTTCGAAAGGTGTGTCCCGCCGCGTGAGTAGCAGGGTCCGAGGTGGAGAGCACAGGCAGGGCGGCCCTACCCGGTGGGACTGTGCGGAGGGGCGCAGCCCGGATCCCTGGCGCCTTCTCCGCAGGGGACTCCAGCAGGGCGGGAAGCCCCCCCCCCCCCCGTTCTTTTGCTTCGCTCTGGGCCTCCAGGCAGAGAATCTTTAGGACTGAACACGGAGCGGAGTTGGGGACTAGGGGCCAGGGATGGGGGCGTAAGCCGACAGGGGCGCGTGGATCGGAATGGGGCCACCCTCCTTCTCTTGCAGCCCTGGGTCGAGTGAGGGAGTAGGGTCATCGGGGTGTACCCACCCTCGCTCCGTGCACGAGTGGGCTTCGGACTGCGGTGGAGCACGGGCCCCTCTCCTTTGTGTGTTTACCCCCTCCCCCGTCCTCTCCCGCTCCTGGGTTGGAGCTACCCCTCAGTCTGGGGTTTCTCCCGCACCGCAGTGTGGAGAGTGCCTGGAGAAAGTCCCAGACCTTCTGACTATCTCCAGGACAGCAGCCCTGTTGAAATCCTCTTCCCCTCCCTGTGGTCTTGAACAGGGATTCTAGCCCCACCCACCCACGGTTGAGCTTCCCGCTCTGCACTTACTGGGGACCATGCGGGTCTCCCCTGCTGGCCCCAGCTGCTCTGACGAGGTTGCACTACTGTGCTTTGAGAAGCAGTGCAATGATATTGTCAAAGCATCTGGGACCAGCCTTGGGGACCCCCCCTTCCCCACACCACAACCCTCCTCAGGCCGGGCCCCTTGGGCCTGCAGGCCCTCCCCTCCCCCCACCTCCCTCCCCAGCTCACTCCCTTCTCCATGGAAACTTGAGATCCTGGCCAGGCCTGGGCCTCTAGGGTCAGAGGGCACCCTTCCCCCAGGCCTCGGGGCCCCACCCCAGTGGGCCTGCATTCCAGATCTCAGATCCTCACTGACCACCACCAGGAGAGGCGCTGGCAGGCCTGCCTGACACTCTTTCCCTGTTGCACTACTGTGGGCCGCTGGGAAGCAGTGCAATGATGAAAGGGCATCGGTCAGGCCCAGCCCACCACCCACAGTGCCTGAGGGGAGGGAGTTTTGCTGCCTCGCTCCACTTCCTAGCAGGAGCAGGTGTAGAACTGGGCTGGACCCTCCATCAGAGGATTAGGTGAGTGCAGAACTGGGGGATCATCCCACAAATTCTCCTTCTGGGATACTGCTGGACAGGAGCACGGGCAGAGGCCCTGGGATCAGAAAAACTCTGGTTTGAAGAGGATCTTTCCACACCAACTCCCTGGGTAAGACTGGGGACTCCAGGTTTGGTCAGGGCTTTGTGGAGAAATGAAGATTCACTGTATTGCATGAAGGGTATGCCAGGGTCTGGCTCAGACCCAGCTCAACCTTGACCATGTGCAGATGAACTGCACCCAGGCCTCCCTGAGGGCTTGGGGAGGGTCAGGCTCTGGAGAGAACATTGTCCTGGGATCTTAGGAGCAGCACTATCTGGGCTGGGTAGGTGGACTTGGGATATGCAGACCACAGGTGATGCCCATCAACCATGTCAGCTTGTTTTCTTACAGGGACGTGTGCTGCCCTGAGACTGCAGAAGGGACCAAGAGATGCCTGGCATGCCCATCCTAACAGCTACAATTAAAGGGACTGCCAAAGAGCCAGGCCCCAGGCATGCTTGCAGGGCCGGCTCCACCATCAGGACCTGACACAATGCAAAAGGCTTTTCTGTGCCCAGCGACAGTTATTCAAGCCTGTCTCCTTTAAGAGGAGGCCCAGGTTTCCAGATGGGCCTTTGGGAATACCCCTCACTCCTGGCTGAGCACATCAAGATGCCAGCTTCACCCCACCCTGAGGGTAGAAGCCCGGGCATGCATGCTTGGAGGTGGCCATCCTTCTGTGTAGATTCTGTGCCCACTGCCTGGAGACTCTCATACATCTGTCTCTCGCCCTTGCTGGGGGATGTTTTTTGAACTCAGGGTTCTGCTCAAATGTTCCGTCCTAGGGGAAGCCTTTCCTGGGCTCCACAACATCCAATATTCCTCCAGCAGAGCATGTTAGATTGAAATTTCTCCTTGTGGCTGAAGTCCTCATTAGACCCTGAGGGCAGGGACAATATCCCTTTTTATATCTCTCTTGGCAGTGCCTGGCACAGAGGAGGGGACTGATACAACTAAAAAAAATACAAATAAGTACATAAAGTGTAAAGTATTATTAGCAGAACATGGGGGAAGATTAATTAGGGGTCTACTCTACCCCTCAGAGGATGCTTCTGCTGTTTATAAAAAGGCACATACTACATATTTCAAAGTAAAGTCTCATTTTAAGTTACACAGGGTCAGGAAGCAGGATGAAGATTTGAACCCAGGTGTATCTAAGTCTATTTGTCCTCCTAGGCTA